AACTTATAGACATATTTTGATGTAACACCGGTAATAAGCACTTTTGTGTGTTTGTATAAACAATTTATACCGATGTTAAACCGATAATAAGGAGTTTTTGAAAAAGTTAAACACTTCTAACTTATAATAAGTTGATAAGGGCTTTTGTAGAAAAACATAAGTTGTTTCAAATAAGCAATCCCAAACACCCCCTAAAAATAAATAGGAAACCTTAACAAGCACCTCCACTGTTAATGCTTTAAGTTTTTCTATTCTCGATAACAGATATGGGATTCATTGGAACGATAAAGAAAACAAAAAAATTATTTTCTCTATTTTAAAAAATCTGTTGAAGATGTTCTTAAACGTTTAGCTGACTCTTACGGTCGTTTGGTAATCAAGTAAGATTTAACTGGACCAAACTAGTCATATATCTGGTACAAATATAATTTGACTAAACAAATTGTTTGTATAATGTTTGACATGCATGATAAAATATAAAAAAACGTTACAATGACTAGATTGCTTCCAAAATGCTGTTTTAAAGCGCTTTTTCAAAGTTTATGTTTGTTGATAATTTTTAGTTGAAAACATGTCCCACGTAGATGAATGGATAAAATCAGTCCCATAAGAAACGAAAGAAAACATATGCTTAGGGGCAGTTTCACAGTTGTTGAATGATTTGATACAGAATGATTAAAATAGTCTCATGATATAGTGCAAAATGAAATATAATTGTTGGGTAATTATTTACAACGAAATTAGGACAATGAATGGTTAAGGGAGACCTATGATACAAAATCATTTAGAAAGTTTTAGAACCATTAAGAGACATTTTTTTTCGAACAAGATTCACCTCTTAACAATTCAAATGCTGCATCTGAATGAAACTATCAAGAGGTAAACAAACAATCTCTTAGACAAAATGATTTATATCGATTATATTCCATCTCATCAGTTGCCTAAATAAACATTGTTACGTCTATTTTGAGATGGTATAATATTACATCCCGTCAAAATCAATGAAGACAATCAGGATCCAAAAACACACAAATCAGGTTTGGATTAAGTTCGATTAAAATATACACTTCGTGTTCGATATAATCAAGATAACATGCTATAATTTTTTCAAAACTAAATATTATTTATTAGGGGTGCTCGTGGGTTGAGTTGATCTAATAACAATACCATAAATTTGTCCATGTACCTTTATTTAATTTATTTTCTCAAATTAATTAATTTATATTATTTCTTTTTATAACATATTGTTTTACTTTTCAATAATTTTAGCCAATTTATTCATTTAAAGAAATATAATAATTGAAATTTATTTTTTTCCTTTTAATTTAAGCACTACAATAGAAATATAATACTAATAAATACAGTAAAATACAATTTTTTGACCACTCCAGTTTTTTTGATTTCAACGGTTTTTGTTTCTACAGTTTAACCATTGTAGTTTATATAAAGATACGAATAGAAGAGGAGTTTAACATTTGTTTAGAAAAAGAATAAAGTCAGAGGATAAGGAAGTAGTTATTTGTGTACTAGCCTACTATAAAACAACAGAAAAATACTGAGCATGCTAGCAACTCAAAATACAGATCTGAAACCAACCACTTTCCAAACATCTGGGACAAGAACATCAGTATTCGTAGAGCAAGATACAAACTCAAACTCTAAAATTCAAAACCGAAGTACCAAAATCAAACCAAGAGAAATCTAAAAGCCTAAATCAAGTTAAATAGACAGGGGGGGTGTTCATTTGAGTTGCAGGCGGGATTTTGGGCAGTCGAAGATCCACGTATGAGGGATGTCGACAACTTCGATGAAGGAGACTTCAACGAGTGGGACTCGAGGCTCTAATCCTGTTGTTTGTGCATATTTGATGAGTGGCGTCAGGAAAGGGGACGTTTCACCAAAGTAGGCGTTGGGAGGGGGATAAAATGACGATATGTGGTATGTGTGTATATTATACATTACGTGTATATAAAAATGGACATTATTTATACAATTGAATTTATTTTTGAACGGAAAGCGAGAGAAAATTGATAAACGTCTAAAATGTCTCTAACTTGATGGGTTTTTTATGGTCGTTGGAGAGAAGATCGGAATTTAAACATTTTTGTAAAACAATTTCCAAATTATAGGTTTTAAACTATAGGAATGAAAACCACTGAAATCGAAAAACCAAAGGGACCGAAAATGTATTTTACTCTATTTAAATGATTTCGTCACTGAACTATTTTTTAAGTGAAAAAATCATTAAATTTTTTCATTTTGAATGATTAAGTTCCAGATTTTTTGATAAATACAATTTTTTTATTAACCTGGATATCCAACCCGCTATGCGAGCCGACTAATCCCAGGACGACCACCTGCTTTGCAAATAGTCCGGAGTCACCGCATTTGAACCTCCGTGGCCACAAGGGGATTTATATTCCTCCTTGGATTTGAACCAGAGACCTCCTGGTACTTTTGACCTTTAGAGCCAAGCTCAAACCAATCAGGCACCACCTTTGTGGTTATAAATACAATTGAATCTTTAGAAATTGGTTACCTACCACAAAAAGTAATCGATTAAGAATGTTTTAAAATATATATATTATTGATCCCAGATCTCTCAATAACACTAATAATTAAGTTAAGAATAACCAAATTATAGTGTTTGGATGAATAAAATGATGAACACTCAAAAACAATGTATGAACATTCAAAGAATAATCTTGAGTGCCAAGGATATCACTTTATTCCAATAATTATGAAAAATGTAAAACGTCAAAATTACAATAGGCCTAACCACCTATTTATACTAGAAAGCTAATAAGAAGATAACTATCTAGTGAAACTATTTAGCTAATCTTCTACTAATAGATAAAGCTTATCTTATAACAAGGATAAGCATTAAAACGAGATAAAATCTTATAGAATCCAGCTGTTGATTGGTCATCTCCAGCTGTCTTCCATGGGATATGAGTTCAACCTTATGTTCATATTTTCATTGCTTGCTTCTGGTTGAACTGGTGAAGGAAACTCCAAGTGTTATTGCCCAGAGGGGTTATGGAGATGCACTTTCCATCGCATCTCTGGTCAGTTCATCGACCCTCTGGTTGTTCTTCAGACAGTCATTTTTCTTTGAAGTCTTCCATTGGTCTTCTGGTTCTTCATCACTTGTTTGTCTTCATTACTTCATACATAATACTTATGGGGTCTAACACACACAAACACACACACACACACACACACACACACACACATATATATATATATATATATATCAATTTTATCGTTCCAAAACCTATGTCATTCAAACCTTTTCCATACAAATGATAGGGGTGTTCACAAACCCGACCAACCCAACACAACGCGAAATAACTCAACCCGAAGCAACCTGATGTCTAATCGAGTTGTAAAATTTTCAAATCGTAGGTATTGGGTTGATATTAAGTTACTATTATTTTAACCCAGCCAAATCCAATGAACTCGATATCATTTTATTTATTGGATTTAATATGATTGCTAAATTTATATTAATATATATATATATATATATATATATATATATATATTAGACAATTACACTATCATGTACGCTCTTCATATACATATATTTTCAATCTATTCATATCTCTATATAACTCATTCATATATATGTTCAATAACTGTGAACATATATATTTAAATTGAGAAAAATAACTGAATGTGATATACGTAAAAATTATGGATAAGTTGTATCAAATGGTTGATGATGAAAAAATAAATCATGAGTAGAAAAATAAGATATTCAAAGTTATAAGAATATTTTAATGTACCAATGTATCAACCCGACCAACCCGTACAGTTTTGGGTTGTGTTGGTTTGCACTTTGGTTTGGGTTGGGTTGAGTTAAGACTTTTCAAACCACAAACATTGAGTTGAGTTGTTCAAATGTCTTCAACCCGATCAATCCAACCCAACCCATAAGCACCCTACACAACGAGATCGCTTCCCCTTGCCACTCCTTGTCGCTCTATCGTTGTCCATTCTCTATACGACCCATCACCATAGTTGACCCCTGCCATTGATCTACCTTTTTCGATTCTCCCTTGTTACAACAATCTAATGGAGCATATATAAACATATAAAAAAAAGATCATGAACTGAAAAAAAGAAGAAGAAACAATCAGAGATCGATGGTAGGGCCAACGACAATGAAGGCGGTAACAGAGAACTGACGACGATGAGGCGACGAGGGATTCATATAACGTAGGATTTGAGAACGGTAAAACTAATTTATGTTTTTTACTTTAAAACTTTCATCGCAGGTTTCTAGTAGTTTTTTTGAGTTAAAACGACATGGGTAACCACTTTTTAAACGTCCGATTGTTTATTTATTCAAAAAAGGTCTAGTGGTTTAATCATTTAAAAATAAGAAAGTTTATGGTTTTTTCATTCGAAAATATAGTTTAAAAACTTAGAGACCATTTACCAAACACTTACCCAGTAAACACTAATGAATAAAATTTAACACTATCACTTACTTACTCGTAAAATTTAAACCCACCAAAACGAACAATTTTCCTGGTAAACACTAACCATGGTAGAAATCATTACATCATTAACGAGTAAGATTCTTGGTCTTTACCTTCATATTTACCGTGTAAGATTATTGATCTTTGTCATATTCATCAGATAAAATAATATAGTCTGGGAAAACTTATCCGGATAAAAATTTAATAAATCACCATTTAATCATTTAAAATAAAAAATTAATTGGTTTTCTTAAACTTCCCTAAAAAAATTAAAATTGACGGTGCAATTTAGCGGTATTTTTTTAACAACAAAAACAAAATAATTTAACAATTTATTTAATATTTGATATTTTCTTAAGATGTAAAATTCCATTTTTGTCCTTTGACTTGATTCTTTTTATAAACCAGGGTTAAACTTCCCCCCTTTCTTCTTTTATATAACTCACCTTCACATACCCTCGACACCCTCCACGAACCCAAACCCCCATTTTCTCTCTCTTTCTCTCTCTCTAGACTCCATTTGACCACAAGTCCAGTCTCACTGAGCTCCGCCATGCCTCACTCCACCACCGACCTCCGCCATGGCTGATTCCTAGATCTCACTCTCCTTTTTAACATCCTCTTCCATGGAGATTCAGCTGCTTCCAAAATTTATATTGTTTGATTTCTGAAAAAAGTTCGACACAATTTCTTCAGTTTATCTAACCGGAGTTTTGAAAAATGGCGGAGATGGCGGAGGCGACGAAGGCAATGCCAGCGCCGGCAGAGAAGAAGAAGGAACAAAGTGTACCGTTCTACCAGCTGTTCTCATTCGCAGATAAGTTCGATTACGTGCTCATGATTCTCGGTAGCATCGGCGCCATCATTCACGGATCTTCCATGCCTTTTTTCTTCCTTTTGTTCGGTCAAATGGTGAATGGTTTCGGGAAAAATCAATCCGATTTGAGTACAATGACTCATGAAGTCTCTAAGGTGATTGATTATTATAATAATCGCTTCAGATTAAACGATCCTCTTCCTTTGCATTTTGTGAAAATAGTGTGTGAAGAAGGCTCATCTAGTCTGATAACGATAGATTATATATTAATTTTCATACATGGATGCTATTTATAATTGATTCAGATCTGAATATTATTTACTCTAATTTAATGCAGTATGCTCTGTATTTTGTCTATCTTGGATTGGTCGTGTGCGTATCGTCTTACGCAGGTGAGAAGCAAAACTCGATCCGTTTCCCTCTCCCTCTCTCTCTTTCTCTCTCTCTATATATATATATATATATTCATTGGTTACGGTGAGAATGAGTCACGATTTCGTCTTTAAATCAATCCTAATTAAAAAGATATACTAGATCAACACTAATGAGATACATGATACCAATTCCTTTCTATAACATAATTTATGGGTTGATTTAAGACTAAAAATGATATTTATATGTTTACTTATGCTTCTTGACTTAACTCCTATTTTCGTATGTGTGTGTGTTTATATATATATATATTATATATATATTATATCGTTATATAAATTTATTGATTTCATACTTCATTATTTGCAAATGCTTATTTTAGCCAGTTCACCAAGGATGAGGTGCACGTGGGTTCCTTGCTATCCTTTGTCCTTTTCGTCACGTCCTTGGTCAAATGGTGGATATTTTTTTATAATAGTTCACAGATATCTCTAATGTCTACATCACTATTGATTTTAAGGAAGTTAAATTAGGCATGGTCAATAGTTAACTTGGTTAATTGATTGTGTTTTAAATTGAGAATGAATAGAAATCGGATGTTGGATGTATACCGGAGAACGACAAGTAAGCGCGTTGAGGAAGAGGTATTTGGAATCAGTTTTGAAACAGGACGTCGGATTTTACGACACGGATGCAAGGACGGGAGATATAGTTTTTAGCGTCTCCACGGATACACTCCTTGTCCAGGACGCCATTAGCGAGAAGGTGATCTCTCTTTTCAGCATATACATTCAAATAGATTTTTTTAAGAATTCATGCATAAACATTCCATTCTACCATTTAAAATGTAGAAAAGGATTGTATTCCAAAACAACAAAATCTTCATAACTGCTAATGACAGGCGGATGTTAAATTATATGAGCTAACGTGCACCACAAAAGATGATGATTCTAAATAGATGCTTTGCTCTAAGAACGGACAACCTACATCTACACATAACCACAAACTTGAAAGATGATGTTCGGCGTGGGTTAATCCAAGTATGCTAATTTGCGCAGATAATGTCCCATTGTTATTGGCCCCATGTCCCCACCATTAATGGACCGATACTACCATAAATGATGATTCTTTTTTTCGTTTCAGTTTCTTTGGAAAAATACTACTCCATCCTTAGATTCCATCCGAATTTATTTTAGTATATAGTCTTCAGGGTTCTTAATTTGAATCGTTACCTAATATTATATACTAAATATTTTGAATTTGAGGACGAAGTTTTTTTTTTTTCCTGAGAAACTGAATCATAAAAATGAATTATCATTTATGGTGGTATTGGTCTACTAATGGCGGAGACATGGGGTCCAATAATGAACGAGACATTAATCCGCACAAATTAGCATACTTGAATTAACCCGAACGTATACCATCTTTCAAGGTTTGTGGTTATGTGTAGACGAAGATTGTCCATTTTTAAGCTTTTTTTTAGAATCATCATCTTTTGAGGTGCACGTTAGCGTACACAATTTAACGTGTGCCGTCATTAGCACCTTTTAAGACTTTGTTGTTTTTGAATATAAATACTGCTGTTTAACTAATTCTTTTCGACATTTTAAACTCAAATTATGAATTTCCATAAACATCAAGTGTTAAAGTTTTACCATGCTCCAACATTAGGTGGGAAACTTTATCCATTATCTCTCAACATTTTTGGCTGGATTGGTGGTTGGTTTCGTGTCGGCATGGAAGCTAGCTCTTCTAAGTGTTGCAGTGATCCCAGGAATTGCCTTTGCGGGTGGCCTATATGCATATACTCTTACAGGTCTCACTTCCAAGAGCCGTGAATCCTATGCGAATGCTGGCATCATCGCCGAGCAGGTGATCTTACTTCGTCACTGTTTCTAGCCTCGATAAATTACTTGCGCATCCTTTTTCCAGTAACCGTGGTATCTGATAACTTTAGCTCAACTAGTTTGTGTTCCTTCCACAAAACTTAAAATTGTTGGAGTCCCACTGCTAGAGTTGGACTATTTCTTTTGTATATATATGTTTGGAACTTTCCTTTCCTCCTCATGGCCTTTTTGGAGAGTGATTTGGGAGTTCTATGTATTCCGGGAACCAAGGGGGTGTTTGTAAGATCCCTTGGGGTGGGGGTTCCACATATTCTCATAAGAACTTCATTCCGGTTAACATTGCACATGACAGGATTGAGGGGGATACAAAAACACCAAAATAGGCGGGAACAAAATTAAGGGAGACAAAGACTGATAAATTACTAAAGTAATCATGTCAAATTAATGACACAAATAGCCATTTTGGCCGACCAAATTTACCTTTTAGCTATTTCTCTCTAGCTTTTTCAACAAAATCATCACTTCTGCAAGTAACCATTTCTCAACTTAACACATTCGTAACAGGGACCAAATCTGTAAATTAGTCTAAATACTTCCTCAACTTGCGAACCCATTCTGAAAATTGATTTTTTTAATTTTTGGCCCTTCCGCAAGTTCAAGAAGTGTTACCGTAGGATGTGGTAATTTTGTTGAAAAAGTAGAAGAAAATAGCTAATAGGTAAATTTCTACTTTTGTTAATTTCCGTTAGGTTAATCGTATGATTGTACCTCTTTTCTTGCCACAAGTTTCATAACGTTATGATTTCCCAAGATTTCCACTTAACTTTGCCTGCCTTAATTAAATTAAATTGTTACTTTGTGGAAATCAATGGTACTTTCAAAGTTGTGTGATCATCATATATTACACAGCATGCGCTACAGTGATAAGAACACCTTGCCTCATGTATTGCTTTACTTTTTACCCCTTCACTTTTAGTCTCTTGTTTCCTTAGTGTGGTATTAATCAACTACTAATTTTATCATATACATCTACATTATTTGCAATGATTTTGTTTCACATTTATCCACCTTTGAATCACAGTTATGAAAAAGCTTTTGTTAAGAAAGACACGTTAAATTTAAGGACTTCAAAAGTAAAAGTGTTTGACCACTTTATCATTCTGTACCTAATCATCCACCATCTATCAATTAGTTCCTTACGAGAGCGTTTGGTATCCAGACATGATAGGATAAAACAATTGTTCAACGTTTGGTAAGAGAGAACAGATAAAATGACCAATTTACCGCTAATGAGTTGTTTATATATTTTGATTAATTTGTATAGTTTATTAAATTATAATAAAATAAATATTTTTTATAACAAAATATCTTATTAGAAAGTTTTCGTCAAGATTATTAAAACGACACTAAAATAAAAAGTTTATGTAGTTTTAAAATTTTATTCTATACCTTTTCTAAATTATTTTTCATTATTAATATTTAACTAATTACATAAATTAACCAATAATATATAGATACGTATGAAAATAATATTTTGAGGAATGAGGATGATAAAGTGAAATTTTAAAAAGAATAAAATATAATAAATAAAATTTAAAGAATTAATAAAATGTAAAAAAAGAGACGTATTTGATGTTTTAGAAAATAATTAAGTTTTATTTTGATGTTATATTAGTAAAATTTAGATGTGTTCCACCTTGAACCTTGGGTTGGAAGACGCCTGTTCCAAACATGGAACAATGATCATGTTCTATAGTGTCAAACGCCTCACCCTACCTGGTGATTTTCTTGCTCTACTTTTTCAATGCGATCTTCTAAAGCTTATTAAGAATGAAAACAGGCTATTGCGCAAGTAAGAACGGTGTACTCATATGTCGGCGAGACCAAGGTTCTGGACTCATATTCAGATGCAATACAACACACCCTCAAACTTGGCTATAAGGCCGGGATGGCAAAAGGTTTGGGACTAGGATGTACGTATGGAATCGCATGCATGTCTTGGGCACTTGTTTTCTGGTATGCCGGTGTGTTTATTAGGAGCGGACAGACAGATGGCGGAAAGGCTTTCACCGCCATTTTCTCCGCCATTGTTGGTGGCATGTAAGATCTCTTATTTAGTTCTCTTACATCATAAATCCAATTTCAACCATCACTTTTGGAAGTTTAATCAAACAAGTGGATCATAACAGGAGTTTGGGTCAGTCTTTTTCAAATCTTGGAGCATTCAGCAAAGGAAAAGCTGCTGGATATAAGTTATTGGAAATTATTAAGCAAAAACCGACTATAGTTCAGGATTCTACAGACGGGAAGTGCTTGACGGAGGTCAATGGAAATATCGAGTTCAAGGAAATCTCTTTCAGTTACCCTTCAAGGCCAGATGTATTTATCTTTAGAGATTTCTCCATTTTCTTCCCGGCTGGAAAGACGGTTGCAGTCGTTGGAGGTAGCGGGTCTGGTAAAAGCACTGTTGTTTCCCTGATAGAAAGGTTCTATGACCCTAATCAAGGTAAATCAACCAATTTTCTGGTAAATCAGACAATTTTCTTTTATGCTATTGACGAGGGAAATTTATAGAAATAGCCAATCTCCCGACCTCTTTTCACTTTATAGCCATTTTCAGACCTCAATAAAGTTCCACGTCAGGATTCTACTTCTTTTCTTTTGTTGAAAACCAATCTTCATGCATATGCGCAAGGATTGGCTATAAAGTAAAGTGAGGTCTGAAAATGGCTAAAAAGTGAAACCCCGGTAGATTGCCTATTTTTGTAAATTTCCCTGTTGACAAGCTATTTGTTTTCAGAATTATATTGGGGACTTAGTTTTTTTTATCGACTAATTTGACGGGTTATGCAGGGCAAATATTGCTAGATAATGTGGACATTAAGACTCTGCAACTACGATGGTTGCGTGATCAAATTGGTCTTGTGAACCAAGAACCTGCACTCTTTGCCACTACGATACTTGAAAACATACTTTATGGAAAACCAGATGCAACTACAGCTGAAGTCGAAGCTGCGACCTCTGCTGCCAATGCTCATAGCTTCATCACCTTGCTTCCTAATGGCTATCACACCCAGGTTTGTAGATGTTTACCATATATTAAAACGTGTTTAACTACTTAAATGAAGCGTCTTTCATTTTAGGATTTTATCTAAACATCGTATATAAACAACTAGAGCACTATACACTGTTTGTTACAGCTTAATGAGCTTAATGGGACTCACATCTTATACGGTCAGCTATACATGACTGTTTGGTAGTGACTTAATGATATAGAAAGTGTTTTATTCAATAAGCTTCTAGGGGGGCTTAGTACAAAAAGCCAATTTTTTCCAGATATGCCCCTCCCTATTAAAAAAACACGCTCCTTTCATCTATGAAAAAACCCACCCAACAAAAAGCTTCGCAATCTATACTTACATTAATTCACATAGGCAACTTTATCCATACAAGAGTTAATGAAAAACCAACCAAACATCCCCTCACATTGGTTAGAATTGGACCATTTCACTTGACTATATGCGGTAATCTCTTTTCTCTAGTGCTCTTTGGAGAGTTATACAATAGGGTTTCACATGGTATCCGAGAGCCAAGGTCTACCACTCGTGAACAATCTTTGCATCTAGCCTTTGTTAGAGAGGGTGTGTTAGAGTACCTCATCGGCTAGACGTGAACCATTTCACCTGAATATATGTTGAAACCTTTTTAATTTTTTCTCCACTCAAGGGTTCTTTTGGAAAGTAATGTAACAGAGTTCCACGTATTCTCACAACTTTTACATTACGCAAAGTGTTGACGAATTGATCTCCAGGTTGGGGAGAGAGGAGTTCAGCTATCCGGTGGTCAAAAACAGAGAATCGCGATTGCTAGAGCAATGTTGAAAAATCCCAAAATCCTCCTCCTTGATGAGGCAACCAGTGCCCTTGATTCGGGTTCTGAGAGCATCGTTCAAGAAGCTCTTGATCGTCTAATGATCGGAAGGACAACTGTTGTGGTTGCACATCGTCTCTCTACTATAAGAAACGTTGATTCAATCGCAGTCATTCAACAAGGCCAGATCGTGGAGACTGGAACCCACGAAGAGCTGATTTCAAAACCCGGGGCATACGCTTCCTTAATTCGATTCCAAGAAATGGTGGGAAACCGAGACTTCTCAAATCCTTCGACCCACCGTACACGTTCATCACGATTGAGTCATTCATTGTCAACAAAATCTCTTAGCCTCCGGTCTGGAAGCTTAAGAAACTTAAGCTATCAGTACAGCACCGGTGCAGATGGTCGTATAGAAATGATTTCAAATGCTGAAACCGATAGAAAAAATCCAGCTCCGAGTGGGTATTTCTTCCGTCTTCTGAAGATGAATTCTCCCGAGTGGCCTTATTCCTTAATGGGTGCTGTCGGCTCGATTCTATCTGGATTTATCGGTCCAACTTTCGCCATCGTGATGAGCAATATGATTGAAGTTTTTTATTTCAACAACCCCGCTCGCATGGAGAGAAAGACCAAAGAGTACGTTTTCATCTACGTTGGAGCAGGTCTATATGCCGTTGTTGCATACTTGATCCAGCATTACTTCTTTAGTATCATGGGAGAGAACCTTACCACAAGAGTAAGAAGGATGATGCTTTCAGGTATGTATATGCATTACATTCTAGAGGTGGAAAATTCTTAAAATAAAAAATAGGAACACCATGGTAACCGTTCATATTTATGGTATAGTATGTTTATATGCATACAAGTAATCGAAGTGGTTTCTTGGTTTTTATGCACGTGTACATGTTATGTACATGTGCATACCGGACAAATTGTTTGTATACACCATACAGTCCGGATGAAAGGTTACCACGTATTCCTCAGTTTTTTTTTTTTTTTGCGGATTTTCCTGAACCTAACCTTTATATTCTAAACTGTAAATATTTGCAGAAATGTGAGATTATTCATGATGAATATATCTATATATTCATCATGAATGTTTACAAAATACTGATGGTTCTCGAATGAATTTGCTTTGTATTCTAATTCTTTCTTCTTAATTATGTTTTTATTCATGTGAAAAGTTTTATAAACCGTTTCTTGTTTAGCGATCATGAGAAATGAAGTTGGATGGTTCGATGAAGAGGAGCATAACTCTAGTCTAGTTGCGGCTCGGCTAGCAACAGATGCAGCAGACGTGAAATCCGCCATAGCCGAGAGGATCTCGGTTATATTACAGAACATGACATCTCTTCTCACTTCATTTGTAGTTGCATTCATTGTGGAATGGAGGGTCTCACTTCTCATTCTTGGCACCTTCCCTCTTCTTGTCCTTGCCCATTTTGCTCAGGTAATACGACACTCCCTCTATTACTGTTACATATAGCATTGTTTATTTTAATGTTGATTGTTTCTTAGGGCCTGTTTATAAGCAGTTTTAATGATTTTAGTGGGAGTTAGAACTTATTCGGTCATTATACATGGGTCAACTATACATAACTGTTTGGTGGTGATTTAATGATATAGAAGGTAGCTTATTCAGTAAGCTTTTAGGAAGGAGCTTTATGTAGAAAACCAAGTTTTTTCAAACCTGCCCCTCTCAATTAAAAAACAAGCTCTTTTCATTAATGAAAAACCTTTTCAAACAAAAATCTTCTCAATTTATACAAACATATTAATCCACACAGACAACTATATTCATACAAGACTGAATGAAAAAACAACCAAACAGCCCCTTAGTCGTTCAGCCATACAGGATTCTTTCTTTATTGCTTAATCGTCAAGCCACTAGTCGTCAAAATGATATATGGAATAAGCCAAGACCCCTCACTTGTTCCCATTAAGCCATCTTATACAAATTAATACCAGAAATGCCCCATAAATAATCACTACAACGAAATTGATTTTATAAAACACCTAAAATGTAGAAACGTCCTAAAAAGTAGTTTATAAGACTTAAGTTTATAGGACCAAACCAAAAAAGGTCATATCTAAAATGTTACAAGTATTAGACGTTTCAACAAGTTTTTTAGGACGATCTTAAAATAAAGTGTCGTATTAGATATTTTATATGACATTATTTGAAAAAGTGTCATATAAACACAAGTATACTATAAAAAGATGGGTTTATGGAACAAACTTTTCAAAAGTGTCATATAAAATAGCTAATAGGAGAGTTTATTTTATAAACCTACTAAAAAAACTTGTTAAAACGCCAAAAAACGTCCTGTAAACCTGTTGTAACATTTTTCAAATAAGACGGTTTATAGTTTGGTCTTATAAAGTATTCAATTAGGATGCTTAGACAATCTAGCCCAATCAATTTTGTTGTAGTGAATCAAACCCTCTCTTTGCTTTCCTCATCCTGACGGACAACTTAATTCTAAAAAAATAAAATAAATAGCAGTTAGACAAATTATCCAAATTGTTTATTGGTAAGCATTTGCTACAAAAAGCACGATAATGATTTTAAGTTGGACGTTTATCCCACGCTCTTATCTTGCTTAACCAATTTGTATTGGTAAGTGAAACCACGCTTACCGGCACTTAAGAGTTGATAATACTTTAATTACTTAAGTGATCTTGATTTGGGTAAATATTATCTTTGATATTAAACGACAAGAATGTATGTATACTGAAAGTGGCAGAAATCTAGTGCCCTGCATGTGCTTCCTCTATTCCGGTTCATACTTTCCCGAAACTCACACCTGACTGTGACTGACCAACTCACTCATTTACAATACTCCTCTTACTCCAATAAAGTATCCACTTTCTTTTTTTATCTCAAATTTCAAATTACAACATTCAAAAATCTATTTTCAAACTTTTTTCTTAAATCTTGTTTTTAGATCAAAATGTAATGGAACACTACAAATTTTGGTAAAAGATTCCTTCGAGCCCATCACTTCCATGCCACTAGGAAATTCATTCCCTCTTGTGCGTCAGAACATTTATGAGTTCGTCTAGAATTTTAAACTAGTTAATGATAACTACAGCATTGCATTCTAGGAGTAGGTCGTAAGCAGCGATGGACCCAAAAAACTTTTTGTCGTGTATGTTCATGGATTAAATGCCCACCTGATGTATTTTAGTTAAATTCTACCATTTTAAGGGATTCTTTAAGTTTTTCGGTATTCAAAGGACTTTTTCAGTTTTTTAGTTGATTTCGAGAGACTTTTTGCTTGATGTCCCTTGTATTTTCTAATATCTCGGAATACCCCTCAAAATTTGGCCGTGGACCCGGTAATTTTGTTGAGTCGGTGCAACTTTAAGATGGATCAAATGATTGCAAAATAACCTGATGTATTTTAGTCTAATTCCACCATTTCGAGGGACTCTTTTAAGTTTTTTGGTTGATTTTAAAAGATTTTTTCGAGTTTTTAGTTGATTTTGAAATAATTTTTTGGTTTTTTAATTGATATTCCAAGTTTTTCTAATACCTTAGAACACCCTCAAAAATTAACGTTACATCTTTAATACTAAAAAAAAATATAAAAAAATTATAGTTAAACGAATGCATAAACTCCACTGAGATCTTCAGTCTGCCATGCTTATGGGTATCCACAACTACAAGGACTCACTAGAATTATTTTAGAAAATAATACAAAATTCGACACAGTTGATTAGGTTGACTGGTTTTGAGAGTAGTGTCCAATTTAAAAATAAATATAAAATACACATGAACATGAACATTTATCTAGAAAAAGTATCCTGTATATTTAAACTAGAGTGGGGTACAAAAGATGAGAAGAAGAGGACATAGAATGCAGTTTTACTTGATTGCTGCATTTACTTAAAATATTCAGAGACACTATTGAATGTGAATGGCAGAGATTCTTAACCCGTGACCGCTGCATTCTCTTCCATAATTATAATAATCTATACCTTTTGCCATTTAACTTTCACTCTTCCTTTTTTTTAATTTCCATTGGAGCCTCTATTAATTGTCAGAAGCATTTATGCATACAGCAATGGGCCTCTGCTCTAGGGTCCCAACTTGTTTTGTTTTCTTCTATCAGCAAGGCAGGCATGCAAGCATTACACCCTCCCTTCATTCATGTTCCACATCTTATGGACTTAATTATATATAGCTGGGAAATATTCAGAAAAAAAACTTACATTTTTTTTTTCATAAAACTCTTCTTAGAAACTTACTGAATAAGCTACTATCAAATATTCATATATAACTGACTGAATAAGTTGTAAGTCATATTAAACTACTAACAAATAGAACCTTAATGACAAACCAACCAAACAACCCAAAAGGGCATATGACTGGAAAAAACACAGTAAAAGAATTTATTAAACATCTGGGTTTTTAGTAAGAATCTATGACTGGACATGAATGTGTAAACTATTTTTGTAAGAATATGATGAAAGGTTGCTTTATTTTGATCAACAGTGGGAGTGATACATTTTGATCAACTACCACTACACTAGATATCTGTCCTTTGTCGCATACCCATTTACTTCTCTAACACTTCTGGGTCCCAGACATGACTACCTTCTAACTCAGGGTCACCGCTTTTACTCCCATACTAAGGGTAATTATGTCATTTCGTTTCTGTACAATCTTCCATGAAACAATATTTCAATTAAATAATGATTATTGTTAACGTGAGCTATGGATCTTGAAGAACGAAGACCATTTATTTTCAAATTGAATTAATTGTTAAAACATGAATTAAAATGAAAATAACATCATTTCTATATAAAATTAAACAATCTCATTAATTACTGTGTTGAATACCTCAAACCAAACCACCCCTAATCAAACCATAATTGTGGAGATTCATCTTAAGACAGCTTAAAAATATTCTAAAAATGTCATTTTATGAGCTTATTGAAAATTTTCCGTTTGTTTAGACATAAGTTAGTTTATTTTTTGCAATTTTTGAACATGCTATTTTTAAGTCATTTTACATTGTCATTTACTTATCATCTAGTTTTTTAAAATTACATAATATTTATATATTGCAAACTAAACTCACATGCTTCTCAAATTTGATGAGACTTTAATCTTTAACCTCCAAAAGGATGAGGTTATTGTACATCGTTGGGCTAATGACCCTTTGATTTACCAGCCTAACAACTAGTTTTTAGCTAATAACTAGCTTATCAGTCAACAATTAATTTACGTGGTTGGTTTGCCAAAGATAACGGATTTCCAATTTTACAGCAACTTTCTCTCAAAGGTTTCGCCGGAGACACAGCAAAGGCGCATGCCAAAACGAGCATGATTGCAGGTGAAGGAGTAAGCAACATTCGGACCGTCGCAGCCTTCAACGCCCAAGACAAGATCCTCTCTCTATTCTCCGCCGAACTCCGTGTCCCCCAGAAACAAAGCCTTCGTCGAAGCCAGTTTTCTGGCATGCTCTTCGGTATCTCCCAACTCACTCTCTTTGCATCCGAAGCCCTAATCCTCTGGTACGGTGCCCACCTCGTTTCCGAAGGTCTTTCCACCTTCTCGAAAGTCATCAAAGTATTCATTGTCTTGGTCATCACCGCAAACTCGGTAGCTGAAACAGTCAGCCTCGCTCCGGAGATCATCCGAGGCGGTGAAGCCATCGGCTCGGTCTTTTCCATTCTCGATAGATCAACACGAATCGACCCCGATGATCCCGATGCCGATCCCGTCGAAACGATTCGCGGTGAGATCGAGCTACGTCGTGTTGACTTCTCGTACCCGTCACGTCCGGACGTCATTGTTTTTAAGGATTTCAGTCTTAGAATACGGGCTGGCCAGAGCCAAGCTCTGGTCGGTGCTAGCGGTTCAGGGAAAAGCTCGGTCATTGCATTGATCGAGCGTTTCTACGACCCGACCGCCGGAAAAGTCATGATTGATGGAAAAGACATCCGGCGGTTGAATCTAAAATCTCTCCGTTTGAAAATCGGACTCGTCCAACAAGAACCCGCGCTATTTGCCGCAAGCATAATGGAGAACATCTCGTACGGAAAAGACGGAGCTACCGAGGCAGAAGTTATCCAAGCCGCAACCGCCGCAAACGTGCATACATTCGTTAGCGGTTTACCAGAAGGGTATAACACTCCGGTGGGCGAGAGAGGTGTTCAACTCTCGGGCGGACAAAAACAAAGAATCGCAATAGCACGAGCCATTCTCAAAAACCCGACAATTCTACTTCTCGACGAAGCAACCAGCGCTCTAGATGCCGAATCAGAGTGCGTGCTCCAAGAAGCACTCGAACGGCTCATGAGGGGTCGAACTACGGTGGTGATTGCTCACCGCTTATCAACGATCCGAGGCGTGGACAATATCGGTGTGGTCCAAGATGGTCGAATCGTCGAACAAGGAAGCCATGGTGAGCTAATAAGCCGACCAGAAGGGGCTTACTCGAGGCTGTTGCAGCTACAACAACATCGCGTATGAAAGAAAAATTAATTAAAAATGGTTGGTTTTACGTAGAAGGAAAAATAGTAAATTGTGCATGTTTTTGATATCCGATCCGATCCAATCAACCATTTCTGATAAATCCCATTTGCTTAGGTGATGTTTAAGCTTGGGATTCATTTGGTTGCATGGTAACTACCCTCCCACCCAACATCTTGTAATTGAATGCTTGTTATATTATTATAATTATATACTTTTTCCTAATTCCAATCGTTAAAAGTCTCAAATTTGCTTATAGGGTTTTTTATTGATTAGTTATCTGTATAAACTTAGAAGATTTTTGTTTGAGAGAGTTTTTTGATAGATAAAATGAACATGTTTTTTTATTTCATAAGAAACTTGACTTTTTGCATAAAACTCTTCTAGAAACTTATTGAATAAGTCACATTCTATATAATTAAGTCATTGTCAAAAGTCATATATAGCTAATCAAATAAGTTGAGTCCTATAAAGCTCATTAAGCTGCTAAGTGCCAACAAACAAAGCGTTCGACTTGTACCAATCAAACGAATCCAGTATATCCCATTTGAGATGGAACTTAGGGAAGTAAAAAGTACGCAAATACGACATCAACTTCTGAAAAGTAAAACTGTTACTTATAAAGATCTCCGACTTTTGAAAAATGTAACAAAGAAAGAAAAACGTAACAAAGAAAGAAAAACATATATGATAAGGATTTGAGAAGCTCGTTAAGAGAAAGTAATAACATACAAAAGAAGTATGTACAAAAAAAAAAACTAATTAAATCTTGTCCCCAAATCTTATGCCTCATCTTTTTTTTTTAATTATATAATATTTATACGGCAAATATAACAAATAAACTCACACACACTCTTTATTTTTGGTGAGATTTGAACCTCTGACCTCCAAGTAAGCCAAAAACTTACATACCACTAGACCAAAGACCCTTTGGTCTTATGCCTCATCTCTGTCTAACAATCGTATGAAAACACATCATCAAAGACAAAATGATTAAACAAATTTATATTAGATAAAATAATAATTATGTGTCTTTTTACCATTACCAATCCCATCTTTCACATTTTCTCTCCCTACCTCCTTTCTATAACGTTACAGCTCCCTACTTCGTTCCCAAAAGCTTCTGTCATATTTCACGTCCTTAAAAATGTCTAAAGTCATCATGTTTAACCTCACTCGTCCATCCCAAGCCCAATTCAGCCTACCCTTTTCGTCGCCAGTCACTACTTTTGTAACCACACCTATTATTTTCGGGATATGTTAGAATCTTTGCTATATATACTTGTATAAAAGATGTAATGATATTAGTTATGAATGGCCCCCATATGGATTATGGATAGTTAGAAAGAAAAAGAAAAAGGGGGAGGGGGTGAGTCTTTTTCAAAGGCCATGTGATGTGCAAGTGATGGTTTTAACTTTAAGAATGTGGGTCTTGTGATGTTGTAAATTTCAGCACACACGTTTGCTTTGCTTTCAGCCCCACACAAGCTATGGGGTTCTTGATTATGACCTCTATGCATGGGTTTTTATGTCTTCAATTATTAACAAACAACCAACCATAAAGCAAGCGACTGTTTCGTTTAGTCAAAAGAACGAAAATCGGAATAAAAATGGAAATAAAATTGGGACTGAATTTCGTTTTTCAACATGGACTTGGCCATAACCTCTAGTTTTGATCAGGGAAACAACAGAAAATGAATCTGAAGGATTTTGTAGGTTCATTGATCAGGGTTCTTCACCTAATTTTTGATCAGGAAAACAACAGAAAATGAATTTGAAGGATTTTATAGGTTCGTTGACCAGGGTTCTTCACCTAATTTACAGATCTTACTAAATTACACAAAAGATTGGGGCTGATATGGATGTTTTCGAGAGCAAACATTAAGTTTAACAACTTTGGTGGTCGTGCTCTTTACAAAAACTGGTCATAAAATATATAATCCAAGATGGCTGTATTTTTCATAAAAACTACCCATCATATATTTAGCTATGGATTTACATCTACTGATACGAGCATGCATCCCGCATCTTCAGCCTGCATTATAGCTAAACGGAACCCCTTGGGTTTCGAAAGATCCTATCGGGTTTGGATCTTTAAAAGTAGTGTAAAAATCTCTAAAATAAAAGGTTCAATAATTTCCATTATCACATTAAAAAAACAAAAATTACAACATAATAATAAGCATCCAAAGGAGGATGAATGATCTTCTTCTGATAACACTCTAAATCGTGAGATATCTAAAAACATGTTTATCATGTGTTATTTTATATGATTTTTTTATAATAACTGACATACATTTGTTTCATAATGTGTTTATTCACAACTTCATATGCACTCCGTTCATAATGTGAACCATTTGGACGTGTCTGTGAAACAAAAAATACACATAAAAAAGTTTCACATCGTGAACAGAATACATACGAATCAAACATATTCTAAAACAAATATACATTAAATACTATACTTAAATAAAAAAAGATCATGTAAAACAAAATCCTGAAATATTTTTTTTTTTATATATTTTAAAGTTCTCAAATGATTAAATTCAGATATAAAAATACTAAAAATAAATAAAATAACATTCATTTTTCATAGGTGACAAAGTGAAAACGGGTTCAATGTATCTAACAATGAATCATATCTGGTTTACGTATAAAAAAACAAGTTGGATTCACCTACCAAAATCTATTTTCTTATTTTTTTTAATTCGTAAATAATTAAATTATTAAATATCATATATAAAAATTATTATTAAAATAATGGTTTAATTAATAAAAAACGACTTAAAAATGTACTTATTTCGAAAAGATAATCTAAGATGGAGATTCGAAATTTATGTTGCGTTTGTTTTTTAAGAGGTGTTGAAATCAGAAGTATGATTTCACTTTCGATTTATTAGAGTTTGGATCAGTAAGAATGTTTGTTTTTACGTCTGAAGTCTGAAATCTGAATCGGTCAAACTAGTGCAAAAATAAAAGATAAATACTTTTTTTACAAAAGTAAAGAAAATAAATAGTTTTTGCTGATAAATCTTTTCCAACTCCCAAAATATAAACCATTTGGTAGAGGACGGATTATGATTAACAGGTTTAAAGGATACATTTACCACTTAAAATTTACCAAAAGTAATGGTGGTTGTTTTTTGTTCATTTTTCTAGGCTTTTTATGTTCAATTGTGTTTGTTTATGTTCGTTCGTTTAACATCTTAACGGACAAAGACGAACAAACTAATTTGCTTAACGAACGAGCACGACAAAACATCTTTCCTTAACGAACAAATATGAACATGAAAAAATTGTTTGTTTTCATTCGTTCGTTAAGTTAGCATCTTAACAAACATACACTAACGATGACAGTTTCTTAACTAACTATAATAAATTTTGTTCGTTTATCGTTCGTATCCGGTTAAGTTAAACGAACGGACATGAACACAAAATGTTCGTTTGTTAATAGTTCATGTCCATTTATTTGTTCAGTTAAATTAAAGGAATAAACATAAACAAGCATCTGTTCGTGTTCGTTCAGTTCGCTTACAACCCTAACTATCAACTAATTTTTTTCTCACACATCAACACCAATGTTTACTTTTTACATTACAAATACACGATTTCACCTAACTATAACGTAAAAGATGTAGGGTTGTTTGTTTACCTCTTAATAGTTCCATTAAGATGCAACATCTGAATTGTTAAGAGGTGAATCTTGTTTGACAAAAAAAGGTCTGACTCTTAATAGTTCTAAAACCTTCTGAATGATTTTATATCTTGGACCCTCATTAACCATTCAACGCTCTAATTTCATTTTAAATAATTACCAAACAATTATATTTCATTTCGCACTATATCATGAGAGTCTCTTAATCATTCAGACCCCTTAATCATATAATATCAAATCATTCAACAATTGTCAAAGAAACTCATACCGTGTTATATATAATAATCCCTTAAATATTGTTACATACATATATAATATATATATAGGTTGGTTATTATACGACTCTTGACATTTGTGCAACCAATACAACCCAATCTTAACCATCCATTTCATTTGATTAATATGTGATTTTATAGAAGTTTTGATTGATTCATAATTAATAAATCATATTCATCTTTCATAAATATTCAAATCATAATAAATGAACTCTCATCATTTTCATAAATATCTCAATTTATTGGGTTGCATTGATTGTACAAATGCGATGGGTTGTATTTGAAACAAACTATATATATATATATAAAATTGAGAAGGCAATAATGAATTACTTGTACTTTGTATCTGTCAAGCAATGGGATTAAAGGAGGACCAGTGCTCCACTTTCACTCTTCTCCTTTCCATGTTTCCTTTATAGATTCATTTTCTTTTTCTTTTTATTTTTTTTAATTTTTTTAAAAATTATATTAAATATTAAAAAAAAGATAACTCCACCTGTTTCGTTATGTTATAAAACCAATCGTATATTGTTTAGTTGGTTTCCATTAAGTTCTGTATAAATAAAGTTGTTTGTGTAGATTAATATGCTCATATAGATTGATAAATTTTTTGCTTGGGGTTTTTTCATTATAGATGTGCAAAACCTGAGTGGATTAAAATCCGAACCCGAACTAAATATATTTTATGCATTATAACTAAACACAAACCCGAAGTAATCTGAAACCCAAAGATCAGGGCATGAGTTTCATATCCGAAATCCGACAAGGCTTTTGATTTGCTTACCCGAACCTGCCCAACCTGCCAGATGCACAAACGTATTTTTCATAGATGGGAAAAGTGTGTTTTTTTTTTTAATTGGGAGAGACAAATTTGCAAAAATCTTGGCTTTCTGCATATAACTGCTTCTTTGAAACTTACCGAATAAACCACTTTCTATATCATTAAGCTACTATCAAACGGTCATGTATAGCAGAACGAAAAAGTTTAGTCCTATTAAGCTCATTAAGCTGTTAACAAGTACGTCATAACTGAACTAAGAGACTGTTTAGTTAGGTAGGAAAATAAAAATGATAATAGATTTTCATTTCCTCAGTTTAACCAATGAAAATTGAAAATGTAGATTTGGGAATGGACTCATTATATTACATAAATATAAACCAAACAATTTTTTTCGATCTTATTAGTTACTGTTTAATATTTCTAACCAAATACCCCTTAAAAACTAAAAATCAAAAGTAATGAAACAGAGACGGTCCAAACTAGTTTAGTTTTAAAACTGGTTTGGTTTCAAATG